AGATAAGTTACACGAATCTAAAGCAATATGATCGCGAGCTATTTTATCATTTAATTGAACATGGATGGTATTTGGGGATACAGATTGGGAATGTAACGTTAGTAACGTTATGATTTCATCCCCAGAGAACTGTAGGTTTTTTTTTTTTTTAATGAAAGGCATATGACATGAATCTGATCACTTCCTGGACGTGATATTATGTACTTTCTATTCTACACTGAATTGTGACCTTTGTCATTTATTTTGTTTCATTTATTAGGGTCTGTCATAAACTACTTTGTTTTGTTGTTTGTTCATTAACGTTACTTGAAATATTGTCTTTTCTTGAAAATGAAGAGAACACAGCTTACTACAGACTTAATGTTGTACAAGATGTCATACTTTGGATAAACAGGTTTGTAACAGACTGTGTAAACTTAAAGAGTAACTTACTTGAGTAAAAGTTCAGAGACCTTACACAGACAAAATGACACCAGTAAGTTACATGTGTAACCAATTCCAAAAAAGTCTTATTGGCCTGGTTTCATGGCTTATTAGATTAAGCCAGTATTAGACCTAGTTTTAATTAGGACATTTAAATAGCTTTTATAAACGTGCATTACTCGTGTACATCTTGAGACAAAACAATGGCACTGGCATATTTTAAGATATCATTTAAATTTGCTTTCTGTTAAAACAGCTCAAACATGCATTTTAGTCTGGGATTATGTTTAAGACTTGTTTGTAAACGCAGGGGTTAGAGTTTTTGATTTTACTCGTAATAAATGTAGGTTCGAAGATAGACATAGTGAAAAACAAGAAACTGGTTATTTGTGAGGAGATAAAAATAAAAAAATATAAAACTGAACACCTCAATATTGTGCTAAATCAAGGTTGACATAACAGCCTTACAGACTCTTAAGTTTCATTTAAAGGGATAGTTCACTATGCCATCATTTACTCACCAGGGGTGCATTACAGTAACCCTAACAGGTTAGCAACTATGGTTTTGGGAAACGCACCCAAGGTCTGGATTTTTTTTTAAAAGAAGATATTTTGAAGAATGCCAGTGGGCATTCATAAAATATATTATTTTGTGTTCAGCAGAAGAAAGAAATTCACACAGATTTGGAACAACTTCAGGGTGACTAAATGATGACAGAATTCATTTTTTTAGGTGAACTAAGCCTTTAAGTACAGTAACTAATTATATTTACTCAAATACTTTACACAACCCACTTCTAAAAGAAAGATCAAGATCTTATTATCATTGAGATACTATCATAGTTTCGATTAATTATTTTAATGAGTGTTTAATTTTATATTTTCCATTTTAATTTTAAAGTGTTTAAAAAATAGCTTTTATATTTATTAAGAGTTTCATTTTAATTATTTTAGTTGAAGTACAGCTAAATGAGAATAGTTTCCTTTGGCAACTAGCTGAAAAATAACATTTATTTCTTTAAATGACTATTTTAGTGAATGTTATTTAAAAAGTAACAACAATGCTTTTATGGTTTTAGTTAACTCTAATAGTCGAGCGTGTCTTGTATTTTATTGCAGAATGTCTGATGATTTCATACACAGGCACCTGCAGCTCTACACAAGTTTGACTTTGAATTGTAAATATTGGATGATCAGAGTCCAAATAAAATGTTACCTGTAACACATTTATTGACCGGGAGTCCTGATCCATGATAAATTTGTCTAAATTTTTATTTTATTATAGGGCGTCTGGAATGTTGCTGGACGAGATGCCCCTGTTTGATCCCTCTCTACTCCAAGAGCTGGACTGGAGCAGCAACACCGTCTCCTTCTCGCCTCCCATTTCTCCGTCTCAGCCTGGAGAAGGGCTGGTCCTCCGTCCTCTGTGTACTTCTGACCTAGACAGAGGTACTGGTTACCATTCAGCAATCTCGTGTGTAGTATTTTAGTACAAACAATCATGATGAACATATGTTTGTCTTTATGCCTTTTTTAGGCTTCTACAAGGTCTTATCACAGCTCACGGTGGCTGGGGATGTCACAGAAGAACAGTTCAAAGGTTCTGCAAGTTCCTAGCTCAATACATCTCACAGTTCTTCATATAGACCTTATGTGCCAGAGAAACAAGCGCTCAGCCATCTGTAGAATTTTAAGAGTAATTAGCTGGTGAAGTGAATTTACTAATTAAAGAGTTAACTAAAGTTATCGTAAGCATTGTAGCTCTTGTTTTAAGCGGATGTCATTGCAAATTTTGAAACGAGCAGTTCATTCATAAATCCGTAGGATCTTACCTTCATACTGTGAGAATACAACTGGAAGACAGAACACAACGAGCGCAGTCCTAAAAAGCGGACAGGGTTACATAAGGTCTATATGGTTTTTTTTTTTTTAAATATTAAAAGACTCACTTTAAAAATTTCAGCAAAATTTGAACATATGAAGAAATCTGGAGACTATTATGTCATAGTGGTGGAAGACACGAATCTTGGACAAATTGTTGCCACAGCAACACTTATCATTGAACACAAATTCATCCACGCTTGTGCTAAGGTACTTCAATACATTTTAAATCTGTATTTTCATACTGCATATATTCATAGAACAGGTAATGTCATTTATTTTTTTGTCCTGGCAGAGGGGGCGTGTGGAAGAAGTGGTTGTGAGTGATGTGTGCAGAGGAAAACAACTGGGAAAACTGTGAGTTTGGGTTTTAAAAACACTTTTTTAAATCATTTTGCTTTTGATTAAGGAATACCGGATTGTCTTTTAACGCATTTGTGTCAAAAACGTGAATGTTTGAATATTGTATTTAATTTGTTTTGTAGGTTGGTATCAACATTGACTCTCCTCAGCAAAAAACTGCAGTGCTACAAAGTAACACTGGAGTGTGCGTCGAAAAATGTGGAATTTTACAAAAAGTTTGGCTACTCCTCTTCAGATGAGGCTTACATGCAGTGCCGGTTCTTTGACTGAATCCATGAGAATCTTGGAACATCACAGAATGTTTGCTTTAGAACTCTGATCTGTTCTATTCTCCGAGAATCTTGGATCAGACTACCTCCAAGTTTTCACTTTTAGCCAGGGAAAGAAAAGGAAAAACAATAAACTTGATCATTTGGTGTCAAGTAACAATAACAAAATATTGTGAAAGAAGCATTTTGAATTCACTACAAGACAATGAGCTTATTCGTGAAAGTTATTTCTAAACGTCAACAACGAGCACTTGCAGAGAAAGCTATAGAAATCAGATCTGATTATACGGATGATGTGGTTTACACTGTGTTCTGTTTTAAAGGAAGAAGGGCTTATGTACTTGAATATTTTCTAATGAAAAGATTTCTATAATTTTTTTTTCTTGTTAGAGGGAAAGCATTTTTAATCATAGAAACTTTCAAACAATTTACAAAACTGTTAATGGCATATTTCCCTCTTTTACTTCATGTTAATGCTGTGGTTTGTGCTTTATGCTTAAAAAAATACCAAAACTCAAATCAGTTTTCATGCAAGGTGCAAGTCTGGTATTGAATCTATTTTATCTTATTTCAATTTCTATTGCAGGTACACATCTTCAATATAGAGATCATTAATATAAAAAAATGGTTTACATTTATTTATTATGCTCATGTATTTTCTCGATTTTGGCGAGGCTGAATCATTAGTTGTCAAACCTAGTTGAAGGAAAATAAATTATTTTGAAATATATCCTGATGTAATGAAAGCACATCTTTGTACGCTAAATGCCTTTATTTTTGTACTTGCACTAAAAGCCGACAAATAAAGGGCATCTACATACTTTGTCATCTGTCTGTCAACAGCTAAATATGTGGCAGTGATGTAATATTTCCTTTTATAACTGTTACATTTTATAATTGATGTAAAACCATTGAATGACAAGTCGGTGAAGGGTTTGAAACAATAAAATATGAAGTTTAAAGTGTATTTCAAAAAAGTTGGATTATCATTCGAAATCTATCCACACCCAACATTTGTATCATAAGGAGTTGCTTATCTTTCCACCAGGGAATGATAACGTTGAACACACATGGTGTAAGTAGCCATCTTTTATTGAGCAGTGGGATGTTAATTCTATGGCAAAAGAATTTCCTTATTCCTTACATAACGACTGATTCATCCTACCATTTCATTTCTATGGCAGTGAGTCGCATTCCTTTGATACCCCCCTCACCCCAGCCCAAATCTGTCCATAAACATAACAGTAATTCAAGTATCAAAAGTGCATTATTGCAATACTGTCCCGCTGCAAATGCAAAATGCTTTAAATACTATAAAACTGCAAAAAATTTCAGTGCATACAGCTCAAAAAGAAAAAAATGATCAACCCATCCCCAGCTCCAAGGGTCACGAGGAGCAGTCTCTCCCTCCCATCCTCTGTACAAATATTTACATTTTTAATCCCAATAAAAATGTAAAAAGAAAAGTCCACTGTGGTAAAGCACTTTTTAGTAAAGTCTATCCATTTTGTGCTGCTGTAACTTGCATACTCCCAAAATCTTCATCCTCTTCTAGTGTTCGCTTTAGGCTTCCTGTGAGAAAAAAAAAAAAAAAAAGAAGATATTAGGCACAGTCACAGTGTGAACAAATGCATTTAAGAATAATGTCGTTTCATTTATTATTAATATGTACAAATGAATAGAGCTGTGGAATATAATTGGGTCATTCCATGTCAAATCAACTGTCATAAGTTTTTGATTTTGTTCATATTTTTTGAAAGATGGCAGCATAATTTTATTTTTAAACAGAGATTGGTAGATCTATTAGTTATATCTCGGTCAATTGTACACATTTTCAGTGGGTCACTTTGCCAACAGTTGATATTTTTTTCCTGTTAAAGGAGTAGTTCACTTTTAAAAAAACTTTTGCTGATAATTTACTCACCCCCATGACATCCAAGATGTCCATGTCTTTCTTTCTTCAGTCGAAAAGAAATTAAGGCTTTTGATGAAAACATTCCAGGACTTTTCTCCATATAATGAACTTCAGTGGTCACCAAACGGTTCAAGGTCCAAAAGACACTTTCAGTGGAAACTGTTCAAAGGGCTTCAAACGATTCCAGACGATGAATAAGGGTCTTATCAAGCAAAACGATCGCTCATTAAAAAAAAAAAAAAAAAAAGTTTAAGTTTTATGAGCTCAAATGCTCGCCTTGCTCTGTTCTGTGATGCGCGTTCTGACTCTCCTGTTCGAACTCGTTTATCAAAATGAACGAATAATTTTTTTCGTGTCATTTGGTTCATTCAACGAACGAAATTTCTCCATATATAATGGACTTCATTGGGAACCAAACGGTTCAAGGTCCAAATGAGAGTTTCAGTGCAGCTTCAAAGGGCTTTAAACGACACCAGACGATGAATAAGGGTCTTATCTAGGACCCTTCGGGTCATGACTCGAAAAAAAGATTCGTTCATTTTGATGAACAAATTCGAACAGGAGAGTCACGAATGCTCATCACAGAACAGAGCAAGGCGAGCATTTGAGCTTATATAAATATGTTATTTATTTTTTAAATGAGCAATCGTTTCGCTTGATAAGACCCTTATTCATCGTCTGGAATCGTTTAAAGCCCTTATATGGAGAAAAATCCTGGAATGTTTATCAAAAACGTTAATTTCTTTTCGACTGAAGAAAAAAAGACATGGACATCTTGGATGACATGAGGATGAGTAAATTATCAGCAAAAGTTGAGCAACTACTCCTTTAAATATAAATATCTAAACAACAAATAATGTTGAAACTAGAAATGTCAAAAAATACAAAAATGGTGTGCACATCCCAAAATCTACCAATCTATCTATCACAATTGACCTATGGCTAAGCCACGCCCCCTCCACTCACACAGACAAAGAATCAACATTCGGGGACAGGCGCTATGGCAGCTGAACTATGCCTTTAAGTATTCTGGAAACCACTATATTATTGCTGCTCCATAAGCGCCACCTTCGGTCAGAGAGGGAATTTGCATTTTCATTCAGCGTGTCCTACACTGTTCCATCTTGCTCCTTGTTCTCTTACCTGGCATCCCAGCTTGGATGGAGAAAGACCTGCCCAACTGAATGGGTGACATCATCTTGATGGTTAGCTTTGCAAGATATATTGCTTCATATTCCTTGATGAAAACAGAAAGAACATCCATTTATTATGCATGCATGTATGTATGTATATAAAACAGCTATAGCACTTAATGTTGAATGAATTGTTAATGCTGAGATTACTTTAAAATCATACCTGTAGCTGATGAACAAAGCCAACATTGGGATTAATACAAAACCGTCTCTCCTGTACATGACTAAAGGCATCCCTATAAAGATATAATATGTGACACAATTAGGGATGCACGATATATTGGCCACCATATCGGCATCGGACAATAAATTCTCCTTTTTGATGTTATTGGCCCGATAAGAAAATTTGGACGATATATATTAAAGCCGATAAATAATGGATTATTTCCTTCCTGTTCACTGTTCAGATGCGCACTGAATTGCTTAAAATATGATTGAAATCCCTTCAAAAAGGAAAATACAGTTAATTGCAACGCGTGAAGGGTAAGTCTGTCATATAGGCTACATAAAAATATCACGAGAGCATCATTATAATAGTGTGCTTGAGATATGGATTTAATGGTTAAACTTTTGTTTTTGTAATCAGAATTTTTTTTATAAAATTTGGATTTAGATTTATATATCAGTTATCGGCTTTCAAAGATACACCAAGACATATCGGTATTGGTGAAGATTTTTAACAGTGCTTCCACAATTGGCTTCAAGTCAAATTTGTATTATGTATTAATATTTTTGGAAATGCGTGAAACGTTTCTCAAATAAAGTCTATTACCTGTATTTTACACCAAATGTCTCCATAAGGTAGGCAATAACTAAGGCAGCGCTGAAAAAAACAACAACAACAACAACAACAACATATATTATATAATAATGTATATAAAATATTACATGTATTAAAGCTGCAGTCCAGAGTTTTTCCTCTTTGTCGCCATCTCTGTTCGAAATCTGCAATTGCAGTCGTTTGCGGACTTATAAACTTTACGCGAGTTGTACTTCAACACCCTCGACACGGCACAACGTGGATGAACACAATGTTTGAGGAGAGTGCGAGGCTGTCAATCACCGCACTGGTGTGGACACTGGCATTCAGAATCACAGATTATTATTTTTGGAAGTATGACCAACATAAGAATTTTCACCGGAAAATGTCATCTGAACTAGTAAGTAACATCCACCTTTGTTCTGGTTCTGACATTGCAATAAATCACGCTGATTAAATCTAAAAATTGCAACATAGCCCACTAGCCGAGACTCCTTGTTTATGTGTACCGATGTGACGTAATGACGCAAAAACATGCTCGAATTTCCCGCAGAAATCCACCAGTATCACTGGCGTTAAAAACATTATTACAAGCTTACCGCTTTGAATCGAGCAACGGCAAGCAGAGAGCTTTGAACACTGGCTGGTTATGTATTTTCTCAAATATGTATTTTGGATCATTTTAACCCCAAAAAAGTTACGTACTGCAGCTTTAAGTAAAATCAAACCACATCCCCAAGTGTGATCATTTTAAAAATTATTTAAAAAATATGAAAAGAGAGTCAAGATAATTTTTTATATAAACAGATAAATAATAAAAAAAAACCTCATGCACCTTCTTGATATCCCTGCATTTCCATGAACAAGTACCTTTCCTGCAACACAAAAATGTGCAAGATGGATGAGAAAATCTAGTATTGGATGTATATTTAGAATAAAGTTTGTACTCATATCAATGCTGCCATTACTACACAAGATTAATGTGGAAAAACATTCATTACCCCCCGTCTCTAAACATCCATCAATAAATTCTTTAGTCTACAGAGAGAAAATCAGGTAATCACAATTAGACAAAAGTCTCACACACCAAATAAAAAGCATTTATAACAAAATATATAAAGATCAGCTTACCATTGGGAAATATCGAATTATATTTTCCACAGGGTTATCTGCTATATCTAAAACAAGGTACCTATAAACAAAGAATTAAAGTAAACCAACTGTTAGAAATAGTGGACCTTTATATTGAGTACAACTCAACAAAGGACTACCAAAAATCAAAATACCTAAATTTATGGGGAAAGTTTGGCTTTATAAAGTTGGCCTCAATGTCTTGCCTGACACACACGACGTGAGTAATGCCCTGCTTCTCCAGCATTGAGAGCTGAAAGAGAGGATGAATTATTACAGGAAACCGGGCACAGATTATTTTCATCATGATGAATGAGGAGAACCGATCATCTCTACAGTACCTTACTCTTCATAGCAGCTGAATAGGGCCCAAGAAACAAGCCTGGGAGAATTTCCTAAATCATGACATCAGATTTAGTTTTAGTAAAAGTAGAAAAAGGGATCATGAGACATGAAACATACTTTAGACTGTGACTCGCCAAATACAAAATGCAAAAATACTGTACAAAAGCCATAACAACACATAATGACATACAATCATGTGCAAAGTCTATTTTCATGATCACCTGCATCTCTCTTCTCATTGGATACGCCCAATCCTGCAGAAATGGGATTGCAAAATCAGATTATCAGTTTTTACAAGCATTCTTACAATAATAAGATAAAGGAAAAGATATTAGGGGTGCACGATATATCGGCCATCATATCTGTATCGGCCGATATTTGCTAATTTTTATGTTACCGTTATCGGCCCGATAATAAAATTTGGCTGATCTATTAAAGCTGATAAATAATGAATTAATTCCTTCAACACTTGACACCTGAAACATTTAAGATGCACACTGTTCAACATGATTGATCTTAATTGCTTGAAATATGTTTGAAATCAAAAAGGAAATCACAGTTAAGTGCAAAATGTGCTGTCAAATCAGCTACATGAAATTATAATGAGAACATTACAATTGTGTTAGGGAACACATTTTAATTGTGAGACTTTTGTTTTTGCAATCAGGCTTTCAAAAATTATATAAAAATTGGATTTAGATTTATTGGCCGATATATCGGTTATCGGCTTTCAAATACAAAGAATTATCGGTATCGGCCAAAATGTTCATATCGGTGCATCCCAAAAAGATATCACTATAAACACCACAACAAAAACTGCAGCCCAATACAGGAATGAAACTAATCATCTAATAATCGGTTTGACAGACATTTTTAAACAATGTTTACACTTTCTCACTAAATCGGTTTCTGTCTAAATCGGTTTCTAACAGGTAACTCAAGTGGACCTAAATAAAGCAAGGAAGCAAGAAGGTACTTGAACTACCGGTGTGCATACATAGGGATCACACTTGCAATGCACTGGCCAAAGTCTTTGTGTTTGCAAAGAATATGGGTTAATGTTTGTTGTTGTTGACTATGACTATACACAATATTAATCTTGTAATGGAGGTAAGTGAACGTATAAATAATGGGTAATACATTTCATTTATCGGATTATTCACTTATTATTTAGTGTATCGTAATGAATACTAGCCAAGTCGTCATTTGTAATGAGATATGTTGCAGTATAGATGACTTTGATTTCAGAGTTGTTGTTATTCTTGTACACTGCCACTAGATGTACATGCTAACCGCTCACCGCAAAGAGTTAGTTAAATAGCTATATTATCCATTAAAATATCAGCAAAGACCTCTGTATTTATTCATGTATTGACAAATACTAGTCAGAACAGGCAATGCTATAAAACAGACATATTGAAGAGTGACTGTGATCCAGCAGTTGTTAGCACTGAGCTAAATGTTCATAACATACCAGCTGCTCTTCTTTGGCGGCGGGCAGGGACGGGAACTGAAGTTTATTCCCTTCGTCCATCCTGTGAGTGTTATTCCAGCTTTCAATACGTGCACGTCGCCTTTGATGGATTGAATATTAAGATGAACTAAGTGCAAATAAAGTACAGTTTTTGGAGGAGCTCCGCGCTCACGCACGCCATGCTGCTTCCACCTACGGCGGTCACGTGACACGCGAGCACCATACACCGGAAAGGGGCGGTGTCCTAAATCTGTTGACATGAAAAATATTATATTTATTTATTGACAGAAATATTCAACGGTCAAGGGATAGACAAAGGAAATAAAATATATATTTAAATCAAAAATGTTATACTATTGTTATACTATGAAAAGTATTATTACACTGTAAAAAATATATATTTTCATGATTTGTAATCACATTTTTTCTTTTGTCAAATCAACTTAAATAATTTATGTAGTTCAGATAACATAATATTTTGAGTTTCTGATGGTTAAATCAATCTCCTTCATTGTATTAGGCTAACTCAATTTTTCCATTTCAATGAACTTAAAATTTTATTTAAGGCAACCAGGTTACTTCATTTTCTTAAGTTAAACCAACAATATTTTTTACAGTGTAGGCTTAAATTTATGTTTGCACAATATAACCAATTTAAGGCAAGACACTCTAGGTGAATAGGATAAACAAATAGATATCACGTACTTCCCCAATTTTTTCATGGGGATTTCTCGGGAACATCATCACTGCTTGCGCACGCAACCGGGAGTCAGAAAAAAAAACGTGTTTCGTGGTTTAGTCATGGGTTTAAGTGTAGACTAGTAGTGGTGGTGTCTGTAAGTCAACATGCCAAGGAATTGTTGCGTGGTTAATTGTACCAACAGAGCCAGTGCTGGGTATTAACATAATGTTATTAATAACATTGGCTATTAAATTAGTTACTAGCCTAACATGAAAATTCATATATCACAGTAACACTGCACAATTAAAGACAAACAGATACATGTATCCTACATTTCTGAAATGCACTTTCTGTAAAGCTGCTTTGAAACAATTTGTATTGTGAAAAGCGCTATACAAATAAATGTGAATTGAACTGAATTGAATCCAACTAAAATCACGTTTTATTGAGTCAGCAGTTATATACAAACAGAAAGCTTCAATACTTGTAGCGGACCAGCTCAGCAATCTGGCTTATGTGCACACACCCTGTAATGTCTGTAAACAGGAAACCCGTGTATTTGTTTCCGGAAATGTTTAAATATGCAAATGCGAAATCAAATTAAATATATACTAATTTTCATACATTTCTACAATAAAAATCGGAACATTTAATAATGCCAGGTTCAATTTTTCGAGGACATATTAGTCAAAGGTGAGAGGGTCTTCAAAGTGTATTTTGGATGTTTTCTTTCCACTAGTCTGACACTTTAGGAAAACCCCAAATCTCAAAACTGACGTTTTTGCCAGTGTCCGCTCTTAAGTTGCAGAACTGCAAGTAGGCCTAGGCCAAGGTGAGAGGCTTACTGTTTAGGATAAAAACTATATATATATATATATATATATACTGTAGCCTATATAAATCAAAATTTTTATAGTGTTGATATAATGTTTTTTTTTTTTTTATTATTATTGTTTATTCACTTTACACATTATGCATAAAATAATCATTGGTATTATCTTGCTGCTTGCATAATTTAACCAGATAAAAATTTAGTCGATTTGCAAAATTTCAAGTACTGGTATTTCTTTAAGTGAGTACAGATCTATTTTTGCAGAATATTGATATCTGTTTATTAATCATTCAATATTACGCATTAAACAATACAATATTTACAAAAATGAAGATTGTGACAAAAGTGAGGTCCAGCTCACAGGTCTTTGTACAAACTTGAGGTGTGACTTCAAGAGCACATTGGCAGTCTCATCTATCTTCAGTGGGTGTCGATGTGTCTGTTTGTACGCTGTCTGGGCTCTCAGCTTGATACATCAAGTAATTCAGTCCCTCGTTGCTGAGCACAGGAGACAGTCCAGTTTCCAGAACTTCATCTTCATCGACACCAGTGCAGACCTCCTCTTCTGGAGAAAATCAGCAAGAGTACATGTAATGAGTCACATATCTGTGCACATCTGATTCAGATCTATTTAAGTATGAATTAGATTCATAACATTTATTCCTTTTTATATGATTAAATAAAGCTAATATTTTTGATTATATTGATATTTAATTTAATATAAAATCACACCATCTTCCTGGTAGGCTTGGTTCATATGACCTTCAGCTCCATTCTGGTTTGCTCTTTTATCCTCTTCATAATCTCTCAATTTGCTCAGGGTTTCCTCAAGGTACTGGAAGTTTGGCCTCTCAGTTGGTTCTTTACTCCAACAGCTCATCATCAGATTATACCTACAAAGTGCAGTAATAATGGAAATGTAATCTTTGCTTTTTACAATATTCATTCAAAGCACGTCATATCTTTGTCTTCGCATTCAACCAATCAATAACATGTATTTGTAGAAATCATCTACTAGTAACACTTACAATCTCTGTGTACATCCTGCTGGTAAAGGCAGTCGTTCACCTGTACAGATAAAGCTTAAGACTTCATGGTTGGTGTAGGTGGGATATGGTAGCATCCCTAAAGTCATAATCTCCCATAAGAGCACACCAAATGCCCTGGAAAAAGCAAATTATAAAAACATGTTTATTGGAATATGCATGTTACTAGATAAGGCAAACATTACTACTCAAGATACTGACCAGACATCAGAATATTTATTGAAAATGCCATCGGTTAAACTCTCTGGTGACATCCAGCGAACAGGAAGCAGGCCTTCACCCTTCTTCCTGTAGTAGTCGTTCTTATACACATCACGGGCCAATCCGAAGTCTCCAATTTTAACGACCCTTCCTGGGTCTGTGTAGCTTCTTACTGACACTAAACAGTTCCTTGCGGCAATATCCCTGTACACGAACCATTGAATAGTTTCATTTAAATCCATTTACTTTTATGCATTTGGCAGACTCTTTCATACAAAGTGACTCGCACTGCATTCAAATGCTTTCCATGGGAATTGAACCCATGACCTTGGCATTGTGAGCACCAATGCATGTGATTGGAATGCATTAGCATATGAGCACATCTTTACCTATGAACAAAGTGCTTCCTTTCTAAATAAGCACATCCAGTGGCAGCATCCAAACTGATGTCCAGAAGGCTGGTGAGGTTTAGTAGCCCTTTGTGGGTCTATGAGACATAAAAACATGTCAGTGCTGTCAGTAAATTATCATCTCATTCAGTATATTTGAAAACAAAGCCTAACATTGGTTGGACGAGCTCCTCTCAGGTAAGATTGAAGGTCTCCTCCTTCCATCAACTCCAGGATGAGGTAATGAGGCTCGTTTAGCAGACACACTCCGAGCAAGCGCAGGATGTTGGGATGATTGAACTGGCTGGAGAGCCACAAACACAAAACCATGCATGATAAATGTGCTCCAAATAATTGGAAAAACAAAATACCGTTCAAAAGGTTTTAGGTCAATATTGATCTCTTTTCAACATTGATAATATATATTTTTTGTTTTTCTTGAGCTGCAAATCAGCATATTAGAATGATTTCTGAAGGATCATGTGACACTGAAGACTGGAGTAATGATGCTGAAAATCAGCTTTGATGTCAAAGAAAAAAAATGACATTTTAAAATTTAAATTATTTTCAATTGTAATAATATTTCACAATATTATTGATTTTACTATATTTTTGCTAAAATAATTGCAGCCTTGGTGAGCATAAAAGACACTTTGAACAGTAGTGTAACTCAATAAGTAAACAGACCCCGTGGACAAAACATCCATTTAGATTTTATTTTCTCCCAAAACTCTGAATAACAACAGACCCCAGCACAACCTTGCCATTTGCTCAGGCCAGGATGCCTCATCATCATCATGTTTTTTTTTTTTACCACTGAATCCTATTATAATCACATTTTTAGTGTGATGCTTTTAGCAATTTTTTCTTTTACCTCATCAAATGAGCTTCTTTTAAGAATTCTGCTTTCTCATAGTCGCTGGCATCTTTCCTCAGTGTCTGTGAAGAGATTGATTTGTTTGATTTGACAAATGTGTGTGTGTGTGTGTGTGTGTTATTTAAAGTAGAACATGCAAACGGTTTAAACCAAATGTACCTTGACTGCCACTCTCCTGTCTGGCAAAACTCCAGTGATTTGGTTGCCAACTGTAACACCTTCATAAACTTCTCCAAAAGCACCACTACCCAACAACCTCTGGAGCTTCAGACATTCTCTAGGAAACACAGGAAGTGCCTCAATCTCTTCCTGGGCAGGTATGGCACTGGGGAAAGTTGTTTAAATATTAACACACTTTTGTGGTTTGTAGATGCACCAAATCATATTAAAATAAAGCTTTAGTTTGTAGTTTGATGCTTTTGAATACCTGATGGCAAAGCAGGCGTTCCCAAGACCAACTAAACCTCGAATATACTCTAACTCCACATCTGGATGGATGTGCAAACCGGTTTGTATAACTGTCCCATGATCCTTTTTCTTATGGCGTCTGTACCAAACTACATTAAAACAGCAGGGGAAGTAAATGTTGCACAGATCTACATCAAAACAGAAGTAAATGTCGTACTTTCTATTCTATCATTCATTTTGATATATCTGCCCAATCGGTCAGTTTCCGATAAGTGGGTGAAGGTTTATTGCGAGTACTGTCTTTTAGGTTGGAATGCCAATTGGTTAATGGTCATATAGTTTAGCAGCACAAGCAAAGTCACACAGGGTCCTCACACCGGCCGTTAATTTTATGCGGGCCTACGATTACAAACTCACCAGTCTGATCAATAACCAGAGGTTATGGCTAAAGCAATTTAACAATGCCGCCCACGCTTGCTATTGTTAAAAAGTACCCATGTAGCCCCCCCATACAGTCGCTTATATAAATTTGAGCCCAAACAATAACCTTGGGTTTGGGCTAGTACATTCAAATAGTGCTGCTCCAACACTTGCTATACATCAATAGCATTTTTATCAAGCCTAACAACTTAGTTCAATTCAAGCAGTTAGTCAGGAATATAAAATCACCAGATGACCCCCATACTCCATCTAACCTGAGATCTAGCAAGGGTTTCAAAGTAATATACTAAAGTTAATCATTTCAGAGTAAATCTGAATAAATCC